ACCTTAATGAACACACCTCCAAAACCTTGGGATTCAATACCCGTAAAGCACTGCTGCCGTAGTTAAGATCAACCGATCGTGGCGACCTCCAATATGACAGAGAATTCAGCAACAGAGTTAGCTTAGCTGCAACTTACCTATTGTTCTCTCTGGCGTCTCTGCAAGACTCCGTCAGGGATTGATCCTCAGCCAAGGAACAGGACACTGGAGTCAAACTGGACTCAGGACTCAAGCTACGTGGGAACAGGTTACATTGCCGTCTGAATTGTCACCTATTCAACAATAATCAGAAGGGCTACATGGACTTTAGTTTCCTCTCACAAATGTGAACAGGTCGTTTTATTAAAGTTTCACAAGTTATAACACCACAAATCAATAAAAAATGAAATGCGTTTTACCCAGATACATATTAGAGAGTGCATCTCCTCGAAAGAGGAAGTGCGTATTGCATTATGGGTCTTTATGAGCATCCGTGTCAGGATTTCTGTTATACATCCTGATTATATTGCTAAAGCATTAAACTATACGATACATGACTATGGCATTCAGAGTTTTAGAACAGTTTTTAGCATATTTAAGCTTTATATAGTAAAATACATTGTTCCATTTTCTTCCTCTCTTCAACACAACTCACCACTGAAATAACTGATATTACTGTAAATCACATCAAACAACAACATCTAAAAGGGGGCTGTGAAGATTAACAAGGAGCTATTCCAGAGGGTCAGACTGTATCATGGCTACGAAAACCAAGACTTCCAAACCAAATTTTGCCAAACATTAAACAGCTTTTCTCAGCTTCATCTCTGGCCTTCCTTGCCGCCTCTTCTCTTATCTTCCTACTCTGCTCCTCCATTTCTCTTTGGCGATCTGCATTTAGCTTTTGCAACCTCTCCTTGTCATCTTTGGCTTCTTTTAATTCTTTCTCATACTTTTTTGCCATTATCTTGTCCATTTCCTCTTCTTGTTTGCGTATTTCCTCTTCTCTCTCTTCAAGGATTCTCTGTTTCTCCTCTTCTATGGCCCTCTCTGCGTCTTGGAACATTTCAGTGGTGTAATGGCTTCCTCCGTTCTTCTCTGATATCTTTCTGATCTTATCGAGCAGCTCTCTGACCTGAGAACGATCCTTCAGGTCATTATTGAAGACGTGGTACTGCCCGTTACATCTGGCCACAAGTTCCTGCAGCTCTTCGCTATCCTTCAAGAACTCTTCAATAGGTTTCCCTTGGAGCAGATCACCGTGGGTAAAGAGAATCATGCTGTATCTGTCTGCTTCCTCTCCAAAGATTTCCTGAATCTTCTGCACTGTCTGCTTTTCTTCATCTGTGAATCTGCCCAGTCTGATGACGACCAGGAAGACATGGGGTCCAGGAGAAGCAAAAGCAATGCTCTTACCAACAACGTTTCTGGTCTCCTCTTCATCAATCTTGGTGTCACACAGACCTGGAGTGTCAATAACCTTAACTCTTTGTCCATCAACTCTACCAAAGGCCTTAGAACAGTCTACAGTACAGGATTCAAAAGAGAACTCTGATTTAAAGGACTCTTTTCCCAGAATGGTGTTTCCTGTGGCGCTCTTCCCAACTCCGGTCTTCCCCACCATCACAATCCGGAGTACCTCGTTATTGTATGTGTTTGATTTTGATCGGAGGGCTGAAAAAAATGAAGAAATATTTAACAATCTAGGTATTTATAAAAATGGTTCAACTACCAACATGAACAATGTTGACAGTGAGGGGGGTGGGCTCAAGATGCTTTAATAATCTAGAACATGTCTAGATGTCATTCAATTGATGTTTTTCATTTACTCCTGTAGACGCTATTCTGACCATAGAAAGCGTTTATTAGTTGGTGATGAAGGTAGAGGGTCTGTCAATCATGATGAACACAAATACTGGAAATGAATATCAAACTAAATGGTAATCTTGCCTGAATGTTTCACTTCTTAACTGCCTGTGTACAACCTGAACTGACATGGTGCAGCAGTGGTCTCTAGCTGTACATTTATTTTAATGAGAAAACATTTTGGACAGATAGTCACTACAACATGTTTAGTTTCTATCTTTCCTACTTCTACAAATTACCCCATTTTGGGCCTTTTCTTTTAAGGGTATAAGTTGCCTTTAGTTATAACCAGGAGCCCAAACAAACTTCTGACTGGCTACCCCTAAATATGTAGTCTTGTGAAGAATGTAATACAAGCAAGTAAAAGCAGAGTCACATTCTCAAAATCACCCAGGCTCTTAAAATGCTTGGAATATAAGAAATATTAATTTTGTTTTAACTGTTTTGATCTGTTCATTATTAGGAAATATGACAAGCTACATATCCATCTATAAATATGTATTTAGATAAGTTGCAATCATCATTAACAATGAAGTTTATTCACTTACCATTTTGGGCAAATCTTCTGTCCATAGTTGGTTCTGGAGGGAGGAGCTGGTCTGCTGCTGAGCTGAGGAAGTGAAGTTAGTCTGCAGCAACACCTCTTTAAATACAGACTTCATGAAGCAAACCACACCCACACACTGCTGACATCACAGTCTGAAGTTCAGCTACAGTGGGATGATTCTTAGATTAAAAAGTATAAATCCTTCCCTTAATAAACAGAACAATGGGAAACACAGCCTCATGTGTTCAGATTTTTTTCAATTGAACAGACTATATATTTGAGATATAAGCCCTCAATGCTCTTTACATATCAACATTCACCCATTCACACACATTCACACACATTCATAGAGGCAGAGGCTGCCATGCAAGGTACTCAGGGAGACTAACATTCACACACACTCACACGTTGGCCATACCAATTTGTAGTTAAGTATTTTACCCAAGGTCGCATGGACATGTAGAGCTGCATTTTATTTACAGTTTGAAGCACCTTCAGCAGTCTGCAGCTCTCAAAGTGTTTAAAAAGAAACATGGACGGTTGGCTTCAGCATTTGGCATAATAGTGATTTAATCTAATCTGGCTTCCTATTATTAAAAGCAACACGAGCATCAACCCGACGCAGTCCGCCATTGTTGTGGTTGTGAGCGGCTGGGAACACAACTGGGACTAAAAAGGAGAACCAGTTCAGAACCAGAAAAGCACGGAGCTAGAACCAAACTGGTTTGGTGGGAAGGGGCATGGATGTGTTTAAACTGCCATTTATTTCCCCTCTAGGTTTTCACGTTCATGTGATATGATTTTATTCAACCTCTTATTCAGGGTCTTAAATGATTGATACCCTTACTTTTCCCATTAGAATGTATTTTACTTTCACTTTTAGATAACTGTCCTCAGTTAACCCTGCTCCCCCCTCCCTTCAGCATTTACAAGAAATGCTCTCTGTTCTTCTAAATCCCTCAACAACCTGCAGACTGTAGTCAACACTTTGAACTGCAGCTCTCAGTCTCTGTTCATAACAGGATGTGATATTAAGCTGCACTCACAAGCTTGGAAACTTTCAAAACCTTCAGCAGGGTTTTGATATAAACACATTGTTCTTCAATTCCTTTGTAATTAAACTCATCCTGTTGAATCCTCATATAAACTTCAACTCAAAGATGTTTTGCTTTTATTGAAGATTGTAGTGTACGGTGCAAGGAATCCATTTTAAGTTCTGATTCCCATAAGGCTGTTCCCTGTGGAGCTCTTCCCAGCTTCAGTCTTCCCCTCCATCACAATCCTGAGCCCCTCATCATTGTATTTGATATCTGAGAAGAAGGCTGAACAAAATAAACTATTTCCAAAAGTTCAATGCGTTGGAAAGTTTCAATGCACAAACAGGATTTATTTTCAGACACTGACACACAGTCCAGATGAATGTGATTTTAGATGCTACTTTTATTGACTATTTATAGTTTGACTCCAGCTCCTTCAGCAGCTGTTGTGTGGGACTGATCCACACTGTTACAGCAGCCTGAACTTTGTCAAAGTGTTTTCAAAAGAAACATTGACAGGCTGATTCAGGATACAACATAATAGTGATTAAACTGACCATGTTCATTTATTTACTTCCTTTTATTTCCCCTCTAGGTTTTCACGTTCATGTGATATGATTTTATTCAACCTCTTATTCAGGGACTCAAATGATTTATACCCCTAATGTCTCAAATGTATTTTCCTTTCACTTTTAGATAACTGACCTCAGTAAACCCTGCTCTCCCCTCCCTTCAGCATTTACAAGAAATGCCCCCTGTTCTTCTAAACGCCAAAAAAAACTGCACGTACAGAGTGAAGTGAAGCCAGGCCTTTGAATTGCAGCTCGTAGTCCCTGTTGATCAACATCTCCTTATCTGAGGCCCTGATACTCCCAGTAGGGAGTGAGTCATAACCCCAAGTGAAGGAGTTCAAGTATCTGGTCTTGTTCTCAGCTGAGCCAGAAGGCAAAGCTCTCAATCAAACTTTCCATCCTTATCCCTTCCCTCACCTATGGTCATTAAGGTTGTCCCGGTCGGACCCGAATACCGAGTATGGACTGGTAGCTGGAGTGCCAGGTCACCCTCTGCCACCTCTTCAGTACTGCATGTGGTTCTGTTTGTGTATGTGATCATATCAACTATGTTTGTATAACGTACAAATAAAACCAGAATGAAATATGTAATTTCCCCTTGGGGATTAATAAAGTATCTCTTCTTCATGACCGGAATAACCAGATTGTGGATACAGACGGACGAATGGTGGGGAGATGGAGGGATAATCTCCACGCTGACCAGGGAGCGCCTTGAAATCACCCTGTCAGAGCTGGTTTGTGAAGTATTGAGAGAACAATGTTGTATATTCTTCACTCATTCTACTGGTTTAGTGTTAAAAACTGCAGCAGATTATTAATTTAACCCTTTTAGAAGGGAAGATAATGGTCATTTGTTCTGGGAATGTCATTTTTGAGCGGTGCTACTGGGTCAGGGTTCCCGTTGGGTAGGCCTTGTGGCCATCTTGTGGGTAATGATTGTGGCTGGGGAAGGCCCGCTGGGGCCTTATCACTTTCTGGAGGTTCTGGGGTTGATGGAGGTGCTGGTGGGGTTTCAGATCCTCTTTTTACTATTGCCATACTTCCTCTTAACATGTTTGTTAAGAGTGAGATTGGATTTAAGCTTTCCCGGCCCTGATTTAGTATTTCTCTGGGCCATTTCTGGACCCAAACTGTTTATTAGAGCCAGCGTCGCTGTGGTAAATAGCGAGATTGGCCCTACTACATTTTCGCTCCTTGGTTCCGGATCTACCGGTGTAAACCCTTGGTTTATCCCTGTCTGTGAATTGTACGGGGGTGGCCTTGCTGTCGGGTCTACACTTGTACGTTTTGGATATCCCATATTTAGATCATCCATCAGGAGCGCTAGTTGCGGGTCAAATTTTGGGTTATAGGGGACATGAATTATTCCACGAATGTCCGTTGCCTCCCCATGAGGTTACCTTTGTATGTTTTCCTCTTTTAGTGGCAGACTTTGTTGTGTTACTAAATCATTATAGTTTGTGTTTGAACGCTGTATTTCTCGCTGAGCGCTTTTGCTACCCCTTTTTATGGTTCATGTCAGTTTTGGCCGGGTTCAGAACCCATGGTCGACCGATCATGTAGCCGTTAACATTTGTAATGTCATAGACTAAAATCGCTACATGTGACCCGTTGTGACTGGCCAAACATTGTATCCCCATCTGGACAATTAATAGACAATAGTCCAGATGGCGCTGTTCCCAGAATAACTAACGGGTGTTCGGGTGAAATAATTTCATTATATTCACTCGGTCCAGCCTCAGACCGCAATCCAAAAATGGATCCGGTTTGGGACCTCGTTCCTACTGATATGGTTTTTTAATAGCCTACTGCTTGATCCCTAAGTGTGGTCGCGACCCACCCCGCCGTCTGTTATAATATTTTCGGTTACCCTTTGGAGGGGGCCCTATTTGTATTTTTAGCAGTAGCTCCCCTCACTCAGTATTTGTTGCAATATTATACAGGTATAGTTATTCCCCTCTGTCCGGTTATAATGGTACTGCTGTCCTTTAATCATAAACCATTACAGATTATGACAGTATCACCTCCTATCGGAAGATTTACTTATTAGTTTTTACGCTTGAGCTTTTTAACGGAAAGTTGCTCTCCTTTTTGTGATAGAGGCGTCTATTTTTTAAACCATATGTTAGACCCTCTACCGCAGAGGTCTTCAACAGGGGGTCCGCGGAGGTACTGCAGGGGGTTCGTGAAATCTTTGGTTGATTAGACAATTTTTTATATTTCTTAAATTTTTAAGAAATATAAAAAAATGTCCCACAAATTGAAATGTCTTTAAATGCACATTAACATGAATCCAACATATTGTAGCGAACGGAGAAATGGAGGCAAAAGACGTTATCTTTCAGTCAGCAATGCACGCATTCAGCCCTACACACAGTAGCTATCTCAAGATAGGCGCCGGTTCACTCACAGCAGGAAACTGAGGTTACCTACTGTAACCCCAGCTTCTATGAGTAAATGGCGCAGCCCTCTAAGGCTATCGCTATTGGGTAATCCCCCTGC